TACTTAATGTCTTTAGAAACAGAACGGCTAGAGGAATTTTCTTCGGGCCGACACACTGAAAGTAGAAGTATTCAGACAGACGATAGCTGGTAACGTTTTGGTCGGGTCGTACTGCAAAATAACGAATCAAGGAGGACTGGTAAGTTTAAGTTGCATGTATACCGTAAACAAGAGGCATAAATCTTGTTAATATCGTCCAGCGCCAGCCATCTTGATCTGAAGCTGTTTTAAAGACATGGGAAATTTCTTTCGACGTTTTGCAGAAGTTATGTGTGTACGAAACCTGGTGGATGAAGGAGGATTGCGGTAAGACAAAACGGATCTAGGTTCTGCTATGAGGATTCTTACCTGGCTAGTTTAATAGTCGAATCACCAACTGTGCATAGCTTCTTTTGTCATGAGACCTTAAAGAGGCACCAACTCAAATTTCGACCCCCGAAAGTTGCAAAAAGACTTTGGCCATATGAAATGGGGATAAAAGTTCTACCGAAAAATGGTTTTACATGCTTTGTATCACATCCATGTTGCGAGAAACAAGGGAGAAAAACCAGTACGACTGAATTTTTGGTAACCTAGTGTTTCAACGGTCCGATGGTCATCAACAGAAATTGATTGATCATGTGAAATTCGAAAGTAATTGAGAAAGCTCTCGGTCGATGGGGATTTCTCGGTACAAGGCAAGCTTCTGCCTAACGATAATGGCTGCTCACGTCGATGAAATTAAAAAGGTTGATATAACCAAGAAAGAATTAAATCAGTCAAAAATAAAGTTTCGAACCGCTCCCAACCAACCTCTTCTACGCCTACTAGGTATTAGATGCTAACTTTCCCGTTATAAAAATTGCATTCAAACCATGTATGATAGAATTATACTACTTGCTAACCCTTACTAGTGAGAGCTTGTCCAGAATAGAAAACGTTTTTTCCTCTTTCATCCTTTCTGTGCCATGTTCGTTCAAAATTGGTTTGTTTTCAATTTTCATCGATCGTGACGCAATCACGCCTTCGTTCAAGTCTTCCGGCATCGGCCTCCAGACGACCCGCTTGCAGGCACTCATACTCTTGCTCGCTTCAACTTTCTTCCCCTAAATTCTGTGCCTAAATTAGAACCCCTTCCTGTATTCAAGACAACATTGAGCCTATTTGTGATAGTCTTTGCTGTTCACATAACAAACTAGAACGACGAAAAGTGTTTTTGGCGATGCCAATTTCTTTGCGTTTATGGCTCTTTAAGCATTCAAATTTTAATAAGGGTGAACCTGATGTTAATATCGATGGCTGATAGCACTGAAGTCACGAAAGACATTCTGTCTGCAATAAATCTTCAGAGCAATGTCTTGGTTTTTTTCTACCTAGCACAGTAAAAAAGGTTAGCTGCACCGCGGCCAACAATCATAGGAAAGTCAATGGAAACAAAATAATTGCATTTGTTATGTCCAGAACACGCCATATTTCTATTGTTTGGATAAAAGGTTTCAAAATTTTACTTATCTGGAGGAATGATGATTACTGTTCTGGACACTGCCCAGAGGAGTGCCCCTGAAAGAAATTTGAATTCAATCTTCCAAGCTCCATTGCGTGAACTAGATAAGAAGGGTTTGACGCTGAGTATGGCTGATTCTGTTTCCAAATTAAGAGTTTTAAGCAAGAATCTAGCGGTTATAGCTGAACCATGTAGCTTTTTGCATTTTCAGACGCATTTTTAAAGCTCAAAAGTGCTAAGCATCTTTGAAGGGGATGATTTATGCCTTATTTTCGCCTTCTTGCCAAGTTTTATTTTGTAAAACCCTTATTAGTGTCTCATCGTTATCTTCATTTAATTAGAGATAATTAAGAACTAAATATAAAACATATAAGTAGATGATTATTTAAATACTTGATTCGGTATTTAGGCTTAAAAATTTAATTCATAGCATGGGTTTTGATATCTACAGATAAAATTGCTGTTTTGGTTAATCAGCCATAGTTGTTGAATAACACATCTGTATGTTGTTTTTTAATATATTTAATGGTTTCAATAATAACTGCTGCTGGCTAATTTCGTGTAATGCTTTAGCAGTGTAGGCGCTGTTTAGAAGTATTTGATGTATAGTAAAAAACAGTTCTACGTTGCTTCACAAGTTTCGTTTTCTGAGAACAAGACGACAGACGAAGACGCATTTCAATAATTGATTTCTGACGATGAATTGTTATAGTTATGTGTTCTTGCAAATAATTAAATACTGGTGAACATCGGCTAAATGAAACTCGCTTTAGTAATGATTTTATATTGCGTGATGATCTTCATTCGGCGACTTTAATTAAAAACAGCATCTTGTTTGAGGCAAATGAGGTGATAACTTAATGATAAGAAAGACTTCACTTTACATTTCATAAGCACAGAGTAATTTAATATAATAGGAAGTATTTTCAGAGCTGGACAAACCAACCTTGACGAAGTGGGACTTTTCCCCTTGTGACCCCAAAACACATACAAGTAGATCTCTACAGTGTATTCTACAGCGCTTTTGTACGTGCCCATATACCTTTTTTAATCTCATCATCATAGCTCCCTTCACTTTCCCAACGTGAATCCAGCGCAATACGAATTTCTTTACAACTTATTACCACCTTACCTACCATCATACACTTATCTATGTCTAAAATTTATTCCGTTACCTTTCTATATGATTTATTTCCATATAACCGTTGTCCCAACTCTGACACTTGGCGTCACTACCCCCCCCCCCCTCTCAACTAATGTATTGCATGGTATTTTTGCTGGCTTTCCCTTTCACACGGTTGAATTATTTAGTTGACAGGTAACGTCTTTGTCTTCCAAGCTGTTTGAGATCTTCTTTATATCTTGTTATTATACCTATTAAAAATATAAGCTTCTTTTTGGCAAGGCTAACTCTGTCTTCTTTGACGTGGTCGGGAAAGCTCATATCTAACATGCCTTGTATAAAGCTATTTAAATTGCGACAGGCTCTCAGCTCTTTTTGGCCCTTTCCTTTTATTTTCCAATAGTTTTTGTTTGAATGCCGAATCAAAGCTCAGATGTAGACAAGCCTATTTTTCTTGATCATCTGGCTAGACCGATCTACCCTAATACTACCCTAATACCTCAAGGTCTCTGTATCTCTTTCCCAAGCCCATTACCCTACACTTTCCTCGTCAACCCTGTCTTTCCTTTTTCTCCAGATTTAATGCATAGTAATGTTATTTTAACCATATCCTTCGTGAGCAACTTGAAGAACGAACATCTAAGAAAGGTACTTCATATAACTTCCTCGCTGCAAGAACATCTAAGTAAGGTACTTCATGTAACATTGCAAGAGAATCGTACTTCCTCGCTGTGTTCGTTTTTTTATAAACAATTGGTTTGACATTGTTGCAAATAATGAATTTTAATTTTCCTGGTGTAGGTGCACCCGAAAACATCAATCGAGGACCAAGATGAGCTCTCCTCACTACTTCAAGTTCCATTAGTGGTGCGTTTAACTTTGCATTTTAAAAATAGCTTTGAAAAAAGCTAACCTTCCTTTTTTGTATATGTTTGATTTTTACAAAGCTATTTTTAAAGATTTTTGCTTTTCAGTTTTTCTTACATTTCTTAAGCGAGCCATTAAAATTTCATTCATGTCCTTGTGTTTGAAACTTTGTATGTTCAACAAATACGTCAAAATTACATCCACGTTTTTGCAATTTTAAATTTTATTAAAGGAGCTTGAGATTTTTTTATATATTATCCACTTGCCCCTTAAAAGTTTCTGTGAACATTTTTCTCATCCGATGTTCTCGTTGACGAGCCTATTCTGCTTATATGCATTTCCCGAAATCCCCGCTCTTTTGCATCTTATTTTGTCATTTCTTGCATTTTTTCTAACGATGATGCCAAAATTATATCTAGCCCATTAGATTCTTCTGCATTAAAGATGAACTATTCTAGAAGTTTCAGTGTGAATAAATCATGGCACTCACAAAGTAATGAAAGAGTGCAAATAAATACACTTTGTTTTTTATGCAACCAATTTTTCATTCCTACAATACAATCATTTCCCACGAAAAGCTTACGAAAAGCCAGAAAAATTTCCATTCAGCCAACAGGTACTGCAAGCTTTAAAGCTGGACATTATTCTTACCATCACCATCTTTATTAATTAAGTTGCAAAGCTGGCATCAAATTAATATATTTTTCAATACATATTCTGCAGGCTGGAACAGTCAATCGAGGGAGCGATGTAATTGGTGCTGGCATGGTAGTAAATGATTGGTCCGCATTTTGTGGTCTTGACACTACAAGTACAGAGCTGTCAGTAATAGAAAGCATATTCAAACTTGGAGATAACCAACCCTCGGCCATTGGCACCTCGATGAGAGCTTCCCTAATAGACAGGTATGCAATCTTTTATAAAGTGGGTTTTTTCGATAGACTGAAAATCAAAACGTAGGCTTGTGGAATGCAAAGAATGAGCACATGAATTGAAGGAAGCACCTGGATTGATTTTTGGGGCATTGAATAGAACATTTTTCATCTTTTTGATATCCCGGCAATTAACAATGAAATTGAGATTTTTTCCTGTAACTATCTTAATTGTAAGGGATTTTCATTCTGATCTCCGTTTTCAGCGATGTTTTTAGGATTTCGTCGACCTTGAAAAACTATTTGGCATTTGTATACAATAGAACAAGTAGATCTTACGAATTTAGTTTTACAGCCTCGTTTTCTTAAACACTCTAAATTCATTCTACGGTGCTGGTCATCAATCCAAATCTTTATTCATAGTTTAGTACAGAAGTTTGATAATTATGTTTTCAAAATGAGGCCGTAAGTTGAGCTGCTGTTTCGGATGCGTTCTACTGAGCGCCTACAACCTCGCGTCAGTATCTGCAGTTTTGTCAGTTGCCAAAGTCTGGATACTTCAAAAGAATTCTATAATACACGAGACCACTGCTTAAAATATTAATTTATAAAGGCGGCCTGCTTTGTGTTTAGTCCTCATATTGCCTACATCCTGGAATAGAGACACCTCAATAGTACCTGACGAATAAATTCTGTATTACGCTATTACTTTAATGGATGGAAAATCGCATTATTTAGTGTAACAAAGTTTGCTTGTCATTTTCCCCCAAATATTTATATTTGGATAAGTAAGTTTTAATTTTTTTCTTCCATCCTTAGTATGACCTGAATTTATGGATATTGCATCTGCCAAACAGCACGACAAATTAGGAAATGGTTTGTTAAAACGGGACGTTTATATTAAATGTAATACTGGTACTAAATTGATCTACTTAATTACCAGTCGGTAACCAGGCTATTAATCAAAATTCCGGCAGGTGTAAAGCTTTTTGAAAACTGGCTGCATAGTCGATTGAGCCAACAGACTATAGTTTCCCGTGGAAGCCTCACCATAGCCGTTTTTCATCTGCAAAGCAATGAGCTGTTGTCTTAGTTAGGTCGTTTGAATCAAACACTTCTACATTCTGGTATTAACTTTTGTTATTTTGGTCGATAAGGACTATCATTGGTTGTTTTTGCTCGCACAGTCCTTTTCATAACGGAAAGTTTTCCCTCCCTTGATCAGCAACAATTGAAAATAAACCCTCCAGTAAGTCAATATCAATGTTAACGGATATTGTGATGGCCTAGAATGAAAAAGGTCCTGTTACCCTGTGCTTAGCGAGGCACCGTAGACAGGAATATGCAGCTTTGTATTCGACGCTGTTTGCGCGCATATCTGGGCATACACAATTTGCCAAAATTTAGCTGTTTTGTATGTTTTTCTGGCTGGCCGAATCGGGCCTAAACCTTTAAGTATATGGCCGCCAACCATTCCAACCATCTGGCAACCCTGATCTGGGTACAGTTTAAAGACTTCCTATTTGCCCTCGAACCATTTGGTATGACAGACCAGTCTTTTCTTTTTATTTCTGCTTGTGATATTTTTTCCTCTGTACTCATTAGAGGGGAAAACACACTGTCCACAAGGATCGTGTGACAATTTTAAGAAATATGTAATCAAATGTAGCTTTTAATTCAACTGTTACCGCTTCGAAAAGAGTTTTATAAAACAAAATCTTCTTGCTGCGTTTCTTTGTCATAATCATAAGGTTAGAAAACGTATAGCAATTGTCTCCAGTACTTCATTGCATTGATCAATTGTAGCGGAACCGTGTGCAGATTACATTATCTCTTATTATATATCACTATTAAATTCAAACCGTATTTTTCCGTCTGACTGTGTATGTAGATTGTGAAAGTGTATTGTCAATACCTTATTATTTCTTCATGCAACTCGATCAGAAGAAGCGAAGAAGTTCAGCCCATAGAAAGTAGACCTTTAAATGAGTAGTAATTCTTCCTTCTAGTGTCACCAGTAACATTTTGATTGTAGCTACCATTTTGAAATTTTAGTCTATTTTGTGCGTGAAATAGAATGATGGGATGCTTTTTAATTCTGCTCTGTATACATTTCTGTCCCAAAAAGCAGTCTTGTGTGCGTTTCTTGTCATTCACTTAGCTTCTCTTATTCCAAATCGCCCCTATGTTGTCTTTTCATTCTGAAAAGGTTTTACGAAGGGCTTACATTGAATCTGTCCACGTTTTACCCTCTGATGCAAAAAATAAACACACTACATACAACAAGAAAGATCCGATTGAAAAGGACAAATGTAAATATGCAAAGTACCCTGTTTTGAATGTTGTAGCCGTTTTTGTCGTGTTTCCCTTGTCATTTTGAAATCGTGTCGTACCGTACCGTCTCGTCTCGTTCGTCTCGTTCGTCTCGTTCGTCTCGTTCGTCTCGTTCGTCTCGTTCGTCTCGTTCGTCTCGTTCGTCTCGTTCGTCTCGTTCGTCTCGTTCGTCTCGTTCGTCTCGTCTCGTAGCCCAACTTGGGAAATCTTAATAACTGAAAAAGCAGTTTTAACATTATTCCTTTTCTTTAGTTTTTCAATTTTGATAAAACAAGATTTGATACTAGTCAAGCGAACAAATTCGTCGAAAAAAAATAAGAAAATTATTAGCTTATGAGATAAGAAAAAATATTGATATACACCAAAAGTTGTACAACAGCTTCAATTCAGAACGCACTGTTTGCTGGAAAACAGGGCGAACCCCCAGGTATGTTTGATGATTTTCTTATTCATCTGTTGGATCAAATAAGTTCGGTTTAGCTTTAAGTTTCATATTGCGAGGAGGAACAAGAGGGGGAGCAGTAGCGATGTTTGTCTAGAAAAATGGATGATCACGGAGGTTTCCATATGCTAAGACAATAAATTCTTAAAAACGGAGATTTATGAATCTAAATGGGCTTCCTACGTGTTGTGAATCTTCTTTGTACAACGTAAGAGTAATATCATGATTCATGTCATTCTGATTCGTTGTTAAAAAGGCATTTTGTTTAGGGATCTTCGAACTTTGTTTTGGGAAGTTTGATTGCAAAGAAGATTATTTGAAGCATAGAATCATCGTTTTAAAGCAGCAAGATATTCTCTTTGAATAGCCACTTCGGCATTGATACCTAAAGTACTGCTGGTTAAGAAGATCTAACTTCTTTAAACTTTAAACTCCGAATCCAAAGCGGCTTGTGTTGAAAAGAATTGTTAAAATAATTCTCTGTCCGCCTTTCTTCATGGAAATATCAATCTCTTTCGGAATCAATTCTCTTAATCTTAAGGTCAGAATTGCCACAAAAAATGAGAAATGCTATGGGTGGTTTGATTTAAAGATATAAAAGAGTGCGCTGCATGAGATTTGGGTTGAACTTTTAAGAGAGAGTTTTTTGCCAAGAGTAACAAAAACAGCAATGCATGACAATAGGTAAACCGATGACCAGCAATGCATGACAAAAGAGCTCGAGGTTGTCTTTTAGTTAGATTTGATGCCTTGGGAAGGCAATTTCATGCCCGATTTCAGGTAAGTTGTGATTCTTGTATACTTCATAAAATCATTAATCGTTGCACCAAAATTTTTATGATGTCTCAAAAGAGTTTTATGTTCGGTATTTAAAACGGTAAGTCATTGAAAAAAGTGTTGAAATTCCTCGTTTGAGTATAACTTGACAGATCCCTTTCCTGTAATTTGCACGTAGGTATATAGAACGTTATAGGTACCATTTGCACAACTATTACACACTTACAGCTTACTCCCGTAAGAGAAATGGTAAGAGTATTAACTTGACTACGCTTTTGCCCAGAGCACCCCTGTGTAACAAGCCTGGCCAGCTTTTTTCTTTATGGGGTATAGCAAGAGCAACATTTCCCTTGAACTAACAGGGGATGTGATGTCCTGCCAGAGAGGGAACTTTGTACTGAAAGGGGAAACCTCTGCTTGGAATTGTCATTTTATGATTTTTGGCGAGAAAAAAGAAAAGATGAAATTAAATGTAGGAATGGCGGTAATAGAAGAAAGTGACGAAGAAACATTACTGGGAGTTACACTATATACAAAACTTAACTTCAAAACTCATGTGCAGACTCTTTGTAAAAAGGCCAGCCAAAAACTGCATGCCTTATCTCGCATTTCGATTTTCATGGAATCCAAAAAAATGAAACTGATGATGAACACTTTAAACCTAAGCTCGAGCAATTTAAACTTACCAAAAGTGAGAACCACATGCTATGGTACAAATACCGTAAAGTTCATGGGTCAAAGAATATGGGCAAAATTACCTATAGAAGTGAAAACTTCGATCTATTTGACTGTTTTAAAAAAACAGCTTAAGAAAACAAAATGCAAACATTGCAACTGTAGGATTTGCAAAACTTTTATATATGGTTTAGGTTTTTTGTAATTATTATGTATTTCCTTTGTATACACCTTCTGTAAATAGTTGGCCTTAATTAGCTTTTATTTCTAGCTGTTTCGAACAGCCAACTTTAAATCAAAGTATTAATGATAAATAATATTAATTAAAAGGGTTGTGCAGAAATGGAAAAATGTTCCTGTCATTCCACTTTTCAAAAGGGGATTCGCCGGTCGGGAAATTTTTGAACGGGGACGGTTTTCACTGGGGACGGGTTTTACCGGGGACGGGTTTTTACCGGGGGCGGGTTCTACCAGGGACGGGTTTAACCGGGGACGGGTTTAACCGGGGACGGGTTTTACCGGGGGCGGGTTTTACCAGGGACGGGTTTTACCGGGGACGGGTTTTACCGGGGACGGGTTTTACCGGGCACGGGTTTACCGGGCACGGATTTTACCGGGGACGGGTTTTATCGGGGACGGGTTTTACCGGGGGCAATTTTCATTTGCAGTCGGTTTATTTACAACCCATCCCAATTCATTGTTATGGCCATTTTATACCTCGATGGTTTTAGTATCCTACCTTAGAATTTAATTTCATATTTCTACTTTAGATCTTGCACTTTAATACAATTTTCTTCTGGCGGGGTCCAATTAACGTTCGTAAATGCTTTTTGTTCGAAGATTGTTTGATTATTTTTTGGCTGGAATGACACTTATAAGGAATCTGTCCGCAGCCTTTCTCCGATGATTAGAAAAATATCAATTTGCATTTTGCTGAAGGAAGTATTGAAGATGACTTAAGACGAAGAAACGAGCTAACTTGGAATAGTGTCCATTTTTTCGCCAGTTGACAGCACATATTTTGTTGTTGTTAATGACCAAAAGTTTTGAGAGGCCTTTTTGTAAGCGACAAGTAATGGCTTGTTACTTTATTGCTTGTCTTTGTAAGCAAGATATGGAAGAAAACCAAGACGTAAAACCGACCCCTTTTTTTTGCAAAAAATTCCTGTTTTTATGCCGGTTTAGTTAATAATAAAGTCACAATTTCCGTTGAAATGTTTGAAAGTAATGTTTCTTTCCATGAATAAAGCGGCACTTACGAGATAACGTCTTGTTTTTTTAAATGACTTTCAAATAAATTGCATTCATTTATAATTTAAAATGACGATGTTCTGCAATGCTTTATAAGGAATCAAAAAGAATTTGCATGCCATCTTTTTAGAAGATATAATCTACAAAGTATTACCGTGAAAGCTAATTGACGTTCTTGTATATTTTAGAATAGAAATCAGCCAGATGGTATCGATGCAGTCAGCTTAAATACACTCCAAGCAGCTGAATCATCTTAGTTTTGAAGACAGAGTCGAGTGGCTGGACTTAATCATCAATCCTAAGTAAGAAGAGAGTTTTATTATTTGTACTGCCAGGATCTTTGAAGTATTATTAAATTTTAAGTATTATAATTTCAGATTGATATAAATTGCATTGAACTTCACGTATATTTATCAAAAAAATTTTCTACTTTTGCATTTATGATAACATTTAACAAATAACAGGTACGGAGAAAGTTTGAACTAAAAAAGAAGGGTCTCGACTCCAAGTGCTGCATACTTTTTTTACTTTATTTTAAGTTGGTAACATACGATACTAACTATATTAAAGCTAATAAAACCAACTAAATAAATTAACAAATACTGAATTTATTAACAGTAACAGTAATGAATTAATTACTAAAAACATAGATAAACAGTAGGTTCCATGTAATTTTGATAGCCCGCTTGTTCTATTAATGGTTTGCAAAAGTGACATGAGCAAGAAATCGCTGAAACAGTTTTGATACTTGCTTTAAAGGTGTTTATATTTGAGCTGGAGGTGATTTCTGTAGGAATTGAGTTCCATATTTCTTGACATCTATAGGATACAGTGTCTAGTCCATATGCTATTGTGTTTGTTTTATTTCTAGTGAAAGTTTTTTACTTGAATATTTCCGCATATTTTCATAAGAAAGAAATGTTCAAACCGCTAAAATTTAAGAATAAATAAAGAAAAAGCAAAATCTAAACTTTATTAGCAGATTTACATTAAAATTTCTCATATTCTGTGTCTTTCAATAATATCTTTTTTTGCCACAATACAGCAGCAAAGGATAGTATATAATTTCTTGGATTTATCTAAATTATGCTTAACTTGAGGCTTCAGTTTCGTTTCGCTTTTCCGTTTCCCAACAGAATTTGCCCATGGTATCATTAAGAATGCTTTAAGATTATTTTAGAGCTCAAAGTGGAAAGTTCTTAAGAATATCAAAGCGTGGCAGAAAAAAAGTATTTGTATAAAAAGGTGTGGGGACTACAGATGGAAAGTTTGTAGTTTTGTTTGTTTGTTTATGATCTTATTTTAAATTGAATATAATTTTAAGCTACAACACAGTAACTTGTCTGATTCGATCATTTACAAAATACACAAATTGACAATGTTTAATAATTTTTTAATTACAAATTTACAATAAAATTATTTAATTTTGCATACGTTGCAGGTAAAGGTGGCCCCGTCCCAGTTTTTAATTAATCTTTTAAATTGGATGAGGTTTTCTGCAGATTTTTTTCCTGTTGTGAGCCATTCCAATTTTGTGATCCGAGGGACCTGAGGCTGTTTGAACCGAAAGTTGTTTGGTTGGGCCTGTAGTGCTGCAAGTCTTGTGGACGAGAGGTTCTTGGTTCGAAAAAAATTGCATGAATTCAGGATTTAATTTTTTCACAGTTTTGAAAATGTCAATGTAGAGGTACCTTGGCCGATTTACATGCATTGTGCATTTGTGAGATTTGCAAAGCAAATCTCCAAAAGATGAATTATGATCATTATAAAAATATGTAGGGCTCTTTCCTGTATTTGTTAGATCTTCTTTATAGATCTAGGCAAAGCGAGAAATGATGTTCGAGGGAAATAGTCAAAATAAGAGAAGACAAAGCTTTGAAACGGAACCTTTTTATCCTCAAAACCAACAAAAAATAGCAATTAGTATTTTAAGCACATTTATCTGTGTTGCTGCCCTTTTACAAAGTTCGGATATGTGAATGTCAAAATTCAGTTGTCGTAATGTCTAGGCCGGTGCACGAAAAAAATTCAGCTTGAAAATCTGAAGATTATATGTTATTATTCATACATTCTACAGAGGCGCCGGAAGCATCGTGATGCGGCGGGGGCAGGAACTGCAGAAAGGCCACCTTGGGGGTATAAAAGTTTGCTAATGAAACAGATCTGGAATCGTCGTCTTGCCAACGACGATGCCTGGTTGTTGGTGAAGGTGCTGTTAAGGGAAATAGGGTCGGTAGTCGGGGGGCCCCTAGGGAAAGTTTTGCATTGTTACGCCCTAAAGACTGGGGGGGCAACACCCATAAAAATACATTTAAATCAGGACTTACAGTCAAACTTCATTCTCGAAATTTTGTTCATCCCAACATCAATCATCAAGGGAGGCTGGACCCAATCCAACCTTACATAAAAGCAAAAATTTGTTCTGATGACCGTCTACATGGCTTGATGTAACTTTTGGATATAACTCTAAACATACAGCTTTTTCCTTTCTTTATTTAAAGTTGGTACAATCTTTATCTATATTGAAGCTGAATAAAGCCAACTGATTTGAATTACCAACGCTAACTCATGTTAGAGTACATATTCCTTGCAAAAATCACGAGTACAATTGAACGACGAGAATTCTGAGATCTTTGCTTAAATATTTGTGAAGTTTGGGTGTACTTTTTTCGTTTGAAACTGATCGAAAAGGAATGATATCATTCTATTTTTCTTGCTTCTGAAGAGAGACTGTAATCTGAATTTAAAATTTCAGATTGCACCAGGGTTTCCATAAGGATCTCATAAGAAAGTCAAATCGCTAAGAATCTTTAAGAAGCTTTTAGCATTGGCTCATTAAAATACACGTGCATTCTGGCACTGCTTGCCAAATGCAAGCCAAGTCTTCAAGATATTTTTTAAGGACTTCAACTAGTGGGGATTCAAAAGGGCCCGCTAGGACAAGCAAATGGACCCAATGGGACAACCAGTCGGTACGTTAAAAGCTTTGAATAGGAAACCGTGCTGCATGAAAACTTCTTGATTCAAAAAACATCTTGAATAAAACGTCATGAATTGAAGGACGTAAGAAGAATTATGAAAATGGAGGACACCTGTTTAAAGTGGTACCTAACAAACATTCTATAAGGTTTCATTCAATAATCCAGAGTAGCATCTACGTGGTCCGTAGGTTGCTAACTATACTCCTCCACCAAACAGTGGTGGCGCCAGGGGAGGGCTAGGGGGCCTACAGCCCCTCCGTCGGAAGCATCTAGCCCCCCCATCGGAGGAAATTTTAGGTTTTTGTTGGAGCAAATTTGACAAAATAACGTACGAAAACTGCTTATTTTAGTCATTTTAGCCCCCCTGTCGGAAGCTCCAGCCCCTCTGTCGGAAGCTCCAGCCCCTCTGTCGGAAGATTTTTGGCGCCACCCCTGCCACCAAACCCTATCCATTGACCTCCTTTTCAGATCGTCGTAATCCCAGATATCAACCCACTCTTTAATGTCGTACATCCAAATTCTTCTTTGCCTTCCACTATACCTTTTACCTTCTTTAAACCCCTCCACGATGTTAGAGAAAACCAAACCACTGGATCCTCTTGCAGCATGACCAAAAAGCGCAGCTTTTCTTTTCACAATGACGTTAAGCAGCTTAGGGGTTGTATTCATCTTTTTTAGTACTTTTTTATTTCTGATTCTATCCGTCCATTTGATCTTTAGCATACTTTTATGGCACCATAGCTCAAAAGCCTGTACTTCGTCTTTCATGGGTTTTCCGATGGTCCAGGCTTCGCATCCGTAGGTAAGGACTGGTTATACATAGGTCCTGAGTACATTTAGTTTCGTCTTACAGTTGATGTTTATGTTGAAAGGGTCTTGATGACGTTGAAATGCAATTTTTGCCATTGCACGGCGTTTCTTGATTTCTTCTACTCATCTGCAATCTTCTGTGATTTGAGACCCAAGGTAGCAATAACTTTTTCCTTGCTCGAGAACTGCTTTCTCAGATGTTTCTCAGAGATTAGTCCCTGGTGTTTTTTCAATTACCATAAATATCATCTTTTTGGCATTCAACTCCATACCGTAGATTTTGCATACCTCGTTTTTACTTCGATTCCATGTGAATTGCCTAAATCTTCTTGAATTAGTTCTTCGCTATACATGTTGAACAGGATTGGTGATAGGATGCATCCTTGTTGAACACCTTTTTTTTATTTGAAGGTTCTGGATTCTCCATTGTTAGTTTTGACCGTCGCTGTTTGGTTCCAGTATAGGTTGCTGATGAGCGGAATGTTATACTTTTCAAGAACTTCAATCAGCTTTTCGTGTTTAACTCTATCAAAAGCTTTTGTATAATCGATGAAGCATACAAACAGTTTCCTTTTCTTCTCAATCATATGTTCACTAAGTATGCGAAGTTGGCAAATACCTTCTCTTGTTCCTTTCCCTTTCCTAACCCGAGTTGATAAGGTTTAAAAGCCTGTTTAAGAGGTATCTAAAAAAAGATTCCAGAAAGGTTAAAAAAGGCTGTTTCATAGAGCCTGACTACAATGATGTAGATATCATTTTCTGACTTAGTTGTGAGCAATGACGCTGAGAGGTTTTCAGAGGCCTCGTGGCGCAACCGATAGAGGAAGCCTTTGCGAGCGAAGCGAGCAGAAAAAATTTGACGACCATGCCCTTTAGATTAGCGAAAAATCCATTTCAGAATATTTTTTGCAGTCACAAGTTGGAAACCCCGAGGGCCCCCTGAACCTGAACCGCGAGGCCAATTTTCCATCGACACCACCTTTCGGTAACCCTGGTTTTGATATTGTTTTTTATGTTTCTAAAAGCATATCGAATGGAAAAATTTTAGATCTTGGCCCACAAAGGTCACCCCTTTGCTCATTTCATTTGGCACGTAAGCAATTCAAGGGCACTTTTTGATTATGCAGTTGGCAAAAGCAACAACTTGGTCAGCTGTGTGGTTAAGTTTTGTCATCTATGTAATTTACAAGAGAAGCCTTTTAAATGAAATAAAATATATGTTGAATGGTGATGTTGGAGTTGAACTACTTGATGGTAGTGTTTCTGTATTTCATTTTTATACGGTTATCAAACGTTTCCTTTTTGGGCTTCAACAAAAACTAACAGAATATTTAAAGGCCTTTTAAATACGCAGGTTTCCCATCTTTAGCCCCAGGCCCTCACTAGAACACTGCTGAAGTAAGTTCTGATTTATCGCCATTTCAAGTGAAGAGGCGGGAAGCAAAGCCATGCCAGCAGTTTTGGAATAAGTCTTTCAGCCATCTTTGCAATGTTAGTGGGAATGTATTCTGCAATATAGTTGATGGAAACATAGCGTTTTCTGTATCCAGTACTGCAATGAATATGAAGTAGTCCTTTGGGTGCAGTCATTAGCTACAGATGACTGGATATGCTATAATAGTGGATATGCCATATTTCGCTTTTTTTACTTTTAAATCAAGGGAGTTACAACCACAACCTCTTGATCTGAGAAGATGAAAAATTTTCTCGATATCTGTGCAAAACACAGCAGCCAGGCATTTTGTAAAAATAGCATAAAAAGTTTTTAATCTTCCAGTTAACTGCATATTAACTATCTGTTTTTGTGTATATTTTGCTAATCGATTAGCTACTTTTTCAATAATATATGTAATCGTACAGTATTGTTATATCCTTTTTAATCTGATCATAAAACTTTTAGCATACAGTAAGATTTTTCTACTCAATCAAAGTTTCAACCATTTAACTCCGTTGAAAAAAAATGGAAAAACCTAAGTAATCTGACAGAGTTATGAAGGCCCACAAGGGACATGCAACAAGCACGAAGATTTGCACACCCACCAAAACAAAAGCGTTTACAATATGAATTTCAAATGCCCAAATTCATGGTTTGCATGATCACAAACTGCAGCACACAAACCTCTTTAGCAGTGGACACAAAGTAAGACCTGCTGCATAAAGAGTTGGTTTTGCAGCACACTACATTTGAGCTGCTGCATAAAAAAGTGATTTGTTTTGCTAACAATACAAAGTGCTGTTCTTGCAATTAGCTTAATGCTAGATCTCGTTGCAAGCTGCAAATTAACTATTTATCATATTTTTATTATTTGGTTCTTAGAAACTAAAACTCAAAATTTGGGTGTCAGAGAAAGTATAATGACATGGACCCCCTGTTTATATTGGTAATGATTAAGTATCCCCCCCCCTGGGAAAGAAAATTTTTCTCAAAAGTAGAACTAGGTCTTAAAAGCTTGATTTTTTAAGAAGGACGACGAAGACAATAATGGTGATTGATGATGGGGATTATTGAAGATTATGATGATTATTATGATGACCCGACGCTTATTTAAAGGACAAGTGACACACTTTTCACCCTATCGTTTCTTTTCATTAACTTATAGATCATCTTTTAGAAGTAAGTTTTTCCTGGTTTGGAACAAAAAATTCTAATCAGGGGGCGCAGGGGGCGCGATTTTGCTTTGTATCACGTGACCCTATGACGTACATTGTGATAACTCAGAATTTTCCTGTAATTGATAGAGAGTTTACGAAACACGACGCGACAGGTCCAGACGAACTGTATTCGTTTACAAGCGTGTTGTAAACGTTAATATTGCACTCTATACCAGTAGCAGCAATAACAAATTATCACAATCTACGTCACGGTGTCACGTGATTCATTTCCCGCCATAATTTCAAATGGGTTTTTAAGTGGGAAAATGAAATCAGAAAGGAAAAATATTTCAACAACACTCTCATACAGCATTATACTTTAAGTTAAAAGAAAAAAAATTTGGCGCCAAAAGCGTGTCACTTGTCCTTTAAGTTGAACTGAATATGTCTATTAAAAAAACATATTTGCTAAGAATCCATCCCCTTCTTATACTTCATCACTATCCCAGGAAGATACAAAATTAGCTGCTAGGTATTTTTGTGTTTCAGTGGTTTAAATGGAATTCTCTTTTACAATAAAAGCTAATTTATGTTTACATAGCTAGCGTATACACGATAGAATCCAAGTTTTAAGGTTGAAGTAGAACTTAGAATCATTTACAAAGATGCAAAGGGATTTTTACTCACTTCTATGCAAATTTCCTCGCGTGGGCCTTGTTCATCCATTCTTCAAGGCAAAAGCAAGTGGAAAATTACAGCATAAAATTATATTTTGTTAAAGTAAATTTGATAACTTCTTTTGTGAGTCTTCTACAAAGTTTTTTTACAATATCTATAAAAGGGAATTCATTAACTAAGAACTTTATAACCACTACCGTTTATATATAAAATATTTAGTTTCTTAGATTGAGTTTGTACTTGGTGGGTCATCTTACACTAACAAGTGTAAGCAGCCGTGTCCGAGGGTCTAGAAAACTGACCCTTATCTCTGATATTTGATTCCAATTTGATTCCCCTTTTCTTTGAAACGAAAGAAAATTTATACCCTAAGAAAAAATAGAAACTTTATCAAGATTCCCATATTTTACACTTTTTGTACTATTTTCTATGTCCTAGATATATGACAAAATTGAACCCCTTTCTTAGAGATATTGAAGATACGGGTGCTTACACTTGACAATAAGAGTGGACCCGCCGGGAGTTTGTAGAATGGAGCTATTTGCAGCATAGCTGGCACAAAGTTCACGTAGTTAATCTTTTATGCAGATTTGCAGATAAACTCTCTCAACTTCTGTCATATTGTAAAAGCCGGACAAAGAAAAGAAAACTAGACTGTCGGAGAATCAGTTTTAACTAAGATAAGGGTTCACACTTTAAGGACGGAGTTCTTGTTCAAGAGCTGGGCTTGTTTCCATAAAATTTTTGCCTGCTCTAGGGTGCTCACTTTAAGGAGGGGGGGGGGAGCTCATAAAAGTTGATGGTAACTGATGATGGTATCAATTCTCATCGTTGCTTGCCATTTCATGCTGTCATTGTTATTTAAGTGTTAATGCAGTAGTCCACAATTTTGTAAATTTTTTAAAACGACTGCATGATGAACATGCCTCAAAATATTTACAAGTCATGAACATAGTGATGTGTTAGCCTGATAACCAGCCTATTATTCTAAAGGAAGAAGTATATAACTAGAGAGCTAAGTAATATGTTTGCTTCTGTTTTATTACGAGCACAATGCAAATATGCTCGTTTATTAGCCAGTCATGGATTAGGTCTAGTAAATACCCTAAAAATTACCTACCTTATTTTCAAACACGAGGAGAGTAATTTGAATTACTTTAACTTGTCATTAAGTTTGATGGTTTTTCACTTAATCTAGCTTTAGAAATATAAAGCCGCTAAATTGAAAGCATTGAATTGTGAAAAACTTTCTTTTTCTTACAAAACATGCCATACAGCTGCAGTTTTTATATTTACTTCATTAATCTTTAGAGTCAGCAATGTTATCGCCATCTTAAAGCTTGAACTCTTTGTAGTTTTTAGCTGCTTATCTTGGCAAAAGACTTCGCTAGAACATCTTTTGAATTTCAGTCTAAAACAAATCCCATTTGACTTACTTTCCGCCTGAAGGTTCTTCTTTTCCCCTCTGCCACTTTCCTAACTTATAATAATTTGGTTATGGCTTTGAAAAAAAAAGGAAATATACATCCAGTAGTGAATCGAAATAGAAAAAACAGAAAAATGCAATCACATGGCCGGTACTTTTGCACGTACGCGATTTTGTGGAGTGATTTGCCCATCGCTATGCGGTAAAAGTTGGCTTGCGATATACAATTGTGAGTTATCAAGTGTCAAACTTTTCAACCAATGGTACATTTCATTGTTAAAGCTAAATTGGCACGTGTCCTAGTCTCCATCAGTTCAATGGATACTTCCTATGGGAATGGCTATCAAGCTCGTTCCGGTTCAAAGCATCGGCACATAATTTGATGTTCTCACTTAGTGGAACATTTGTAACTACTAATATCGAAAGAACACATACAAGTTTGTCTGTTTGTATGTGTTGCTTTGAGATTTTTTTTTCTTGTCCCGTGTCCAGTGTCCTTGTCCTTCCTCAATATCGACCATACCCTCAATATCGACCGATTCCTATGCTTGGAATTACAGACAGCTTGCAATTCTTGTCACGCTGAATAAAAGTTTGGTCACGGCAGGAACTCAAACCTCTGACCATCGGACTTCAGATCAACTACACTCTGGTGCAAGTCCTTGCTAAACCTCCCTTTTTGTAGAACTTCTGTATGCCAACAATCTGAACTGATTACAATCCATTTTTTCAGACTGATATCCCTGGATTTCCTGCTCTCTGGATTTGCCATGAAGGACCGGGTCATGAAGAATTGGTAAGCTTTTTGATCATATGGTTTGCATGTTACGTTCTAAAGCACATCTTGTTACCGCATAAGCGTGACAAGCGGTAAATTATTGTAATAACTTTGGTTCGTAACTACATGAAAGTCGTGCCCACAAGACAACTTTGACTAGTTGCTTTTCAGTGCCGCTCGAATGCTGTTGTAATGTTAAAGTTAACCCTGAAGTAGGATAAGCTATGGATTTTCGTCTGACAAAAGATTTGTGAGTATTCAAATGTTGTTCAGCGGCAGAAACCCCTCAAATTTGTATGTCTTTCAAACCTTTTTGTCGCCAAGAATGTGAATTTTGTGAGGGCGAAGGCCATGATTGTGTCAAAAAAAGCAAACATTTAATTGATGTTTGCTACAAGAGGTACTTATTGTTTTTGCTCAAATGGTGCTCGATGCACGAAGTAATGCAGGGGTGGGGCATGTAGGGGGGGGGGGG